TATTACACTATAAACTACACCAAAAATACATACATTATTAGCTGAGTATTTTTGAAAGTAAGGATTCTCATTTCTTCTTCTTGTCTTGGGTGCACCTCGGACAAAACCTGTGAGATTTGACAGGGGAGGGAAAAAGATTGAGGGCAAAGAGGACAATCATGACAAGTCTGCATTAGTAAGGCCCCCATCACACAGAAAGTGTTTTAGCAGCTGCTGGCGGCTTTTTGTAATTGTTTTAAATTAGAGTGAAGCTTTTTGCTCGCGGTTTTCGTGACGTGATAAACCTTTTTTTTTTCTCTAGTGGTATTCAATTAAAACAAAAAACAAAAAAAAAAAGGCAGTGCGGCACGGTGTGTTTTGCAACGTGGAAAACGCTTTCTGTGTGATCGGGGTCTAATAATATTTTCATGAACAACTCTAGGTTAACATCCTTCAGAGTTCTTACCATTTTCCTTTGGGTTTTGAGGCGAGATCAACACAAGCAAAGTGGAACCACTCAATAGGACACTGAGGGATGAAAAACAACGTCAGTAATATGAAACTTGCTGAAAAAGTCAAAGTGGTTCTGATGGTAAAGAAACAAATTTAATTTCAACAAGAAAGAAACTCTATAAAATCTTACATCTGGGTTATCGCATCCAATCATCTCTCCATATGACACCTGGTGGCACAGGCAGTACGTGGGCTCATTGGGATCGACTGGCATGTCCAAAACGTCTGATGGTTGCATGGGCAGGAGGGCGTCACTCAGGTCTGGGCTGGAGGTCCAACATCAAACACACAGCATAATTAGTTGGGGAGGGAGGGAAATAAATCGATGTTTAGATGCATCACGATGCAGACGTGGACGATTCCAAATGTCAATAATCGATTATGTAACTGTTTGTTCATCACATGATGTTGACGGAACAAAGGAGGCGGAACTCAACTGCAAAGTCAGTGTAGCACCCCGACAGTCTACAGCACGGACGAACTGAAGTTAACTTCACCAATTCATCTTCATAAACGACAGCGGTTGCAGCTCGTTTTAATTTAATGTCTAAACAATTACATTTGCGAGGCGAACATTGGGTATACATCAACGAGAGGAGCAGTGATCAGCATGTGAACCAGCTGACCAACACACGCTGCAGCATTAACCAAATGAAAACACCTCTGTGGTGAAGAAAATAACTCTCTGCTCAGTCTGTTTTACCTTTAAAGACCCTGTGCCTGACCTGCCCAGTGTCTTGGCTTTCACCAGCACTAACAGAGCACTCAGCCTCCCCCTCATGTTATTCTTATACACACAGGAGACTGTGAGGTGCTTTCAAATCCATTCAGTCATGAATCAATGCAGTTGACTTTTCAAAATAAAAAGCATGCAGACCACATATTATTGAACAGAACTTGAGTTGCAAACTGTTTCAGGGGAAATATTACAGTAGGCTATGCAAACACTGGACCCTATGCAGGTGTGTGTGT